GCTGAATTGCACAAAACGCATGATCGCACCGGCTAGTCTGGTGCGCGTTGCTATTTATTTTTTTTTGCAGCAAGACTCGAACTCACCCAGTTCTCTGCATGATTCAGCTTGTGATTGTATTGTATCGGCGTTGTACCGTGCTGAGAATACCAGTGCTCATCATGCTTTGGCTGTTGCTGTCCAGTCAGCCTGCTATAGCATGGCTGAGAGCTTCTCGATGGCAGTAGCAAGCGATGATTATGATAAGTTCGTTTTTGTCAACTTTGAAGCGTTTTTGTTTCACGAAACTAAAATTTCATTTTATAGTTCGGTCAGTAATTTTTTTTTTTTTGTTAGCTGTTTTTTTCCGTAGCATTTCCTCTCATCGTCTACGAATTTGCTTCATCTCTTCTTTCTTTCTTTGTTTTTGACCATTCTTTTCTAAAGAAACACAAAAAGAATCACTTCCCCGTCGTTATTTTTTTCTTGCAGATTGCATGGATATGCGCGAGTGTTTTCCGAACTAAATGAAGCACTACTCGAATGTATGGTTAATAACCCTGGGCAAGATCTTGGCGATTTCCGAACCCTTGAAATGCTTCTCCTGCTGGCCGGCTACCATGATTATAATGCAAGTTTTTATAATTATAATCAACCTACAATATAATAAGATAGCGATTTTGTTGTGAATTTTCATCGCTTAATTTGCAAATTCTCTGGGTTTTCGTGATATTTGAGGAAGACTGGTTTAGAAAAACGTGGCGAGGCAGGAAGAGTGACAGTCGGGTTAATTCGCGGACCATATGGTGGTGGCCTAAGTTGCAGCTACAGCTGTGAGGAGCTGTGCGTCAGAGGATACAATATGTGAGAGGATTGCATAGGGTTGGCATGTTGGAAATAGCTGGGAAGTTATTTTTGATGGGCCTATTTTGTTGAAATTTGTTTATTTTAGCTAATCGAAATGACATTCAATATTTGGTATCGCCTATCTGAGCATCTCTATGAACGGAATGATGACGAACTGAACGCCAAATTTAGGCCCTACATCGAAAGGTAATTCCTTCTATTTTTAGAATATTTAATTTTTTTGCTTGCTTATAGCCTTATTTAATATTTTATTTATAAGTTCAGTTTATTTATGTTTTTACTGTCTTACCCTGATAATTATGGACTCATTTATTCACTCAAGTATTTACATTTGATTGCTTTTTATGCATTTTTTTGCATCTATGCAATGTAAAAACGCATATTGTCGAAGGTTGTTTGTGTGCGTGTATGTGTCTGTGTGTTCGTCTATACCGATTTTCATTTCGAGACCTACAAAAGCCACAGGGCTGAAACTTTGGGAACTTAATCTACGTGCGTGTACGGAGACCCTTCCCAAAATGGGCACTTTTGCTCGCGTGCTTCCCACGTACGGACCATGAAAGTTGCTAACTTGGGAATCTGAAATGTTTGAAAGTTGAAGTTTAATGGGATGCTCCTCATCCACATAGGACTTAAAAAGTTCATACCTAGCCCCATGATTCCAACATACGGGCCCGTGAAAATTTTTGGCGGGTAAGTTGCTAATTCGGAAACCAGAAAAACTGTAAAGTTGAAATTTTAAGGGAATGTTTCCCGACCATCATGGCGGTCAATCTCAATTCTTTTAGCTAGAAGCATATGCCGGGAAAACCAGTGCCGTTGGCGGTAGAAACCTGTGGAGAACTGTGCAAAAAATGTATCTTCGTACCGGCAGTCAGTACGCCGGCCAGTTATTTGCTTGTTACTTTGATCATATATTTAATCATTTGGTTGAATATTTTTTATTATTCATTTATTGCGATGTTAGTCTGAAATCAGTGCACCGAAAACGAAGATATGCAAAGTGTCAGTTTATGCCCGCTCGCAAGATTGCCGATAGACGATGCTGACTTGGAAGAAGTTGAAAGCTTCATGTCTTAATTAGGAAATAAATGTGCACCATACTCTCCAGCCACGTAAAAAACCACAATTTTCGCAGCACCGCCGATGTCCTCAGCGTGTCGAATGGAGGGGGCCAACACGATTACCCACTTTTTCAATACCACTGTACTGGCGACAGTCTTTTTCTGTTCTAACTTGTTACATATTTCTTTCAGATACATTATGGCCCTTTACAAGCACTGCCGCTTTGATACTGACCAAGAGGGTATTCCGGACGATAGCGATGATTTTGTGGAATTTCGTATGCAAGTCTCCGATACACTGAGGGATGTTGTCTTTATCGTTGGCACAGATCGTTGCGTACAGAGTGTATGTCATTTTTCCAGTTCATTGTTGAATTTTTGTTACCACCTTCGTCGGAGTTATCAGTTTGGAGTTCTCGTCTATGAATCCAGTTTCCTTTTCTTTGTGTTGTCAGTGAAATATAATGGTGTTACTTCCGTCTTAAAGATCATGGTTCCATTCTATCATTGGGACAACCAGACTTCTGTGATTCGTTCATTCGTTTCGATGGTAAATTGGCACTGGCATAAACATAACGGGGACTCAAACCCGTCATCACTGTGCTTCAAGTGGCCCTCGGAATACTAAATCTCGGCTGTTTTAACACCGGATGGTTGATCTTGGCTAATGCCTCCCTCAGTGTTATTAATGCGTTTTTTGCAGCTATGCAATCCAAAAACGCATATTGACGAGGGGTTATCTGTGTGTCTGTGTGTGCGTCTGTCACACGCTTTCATCTCGAGTCTTTTAAAAGCTGCAGGGCTGAAATTTCGGGAACTTAATCTACATGCACATGCCGGCCCCAATCCCCAAAATGGGCGCCATCACCCGCGTGGTACCTGCGTACGGGCTCGCCAAAGTTTTTTTGAGTTCATAACTTGGAGTTCTGAGAAGCTAGAACGCTGAAATCTTAGGGTGATGTTCCCTGTCCAAGTAGGTGTTAATGCACTGAAACCCACCCGCCGGGTAAGCGTGATACCCGCGTATGGGCCCGCCAAAATTTTTTTCGAGTAAGTTCATAACTTGGGGATCTGAGAAGCTAAAACGCTGAAATCTTAGGGGATGTTCTGTGTCCAAGTGGGCATTAACGGGTTCAAACCCTGCCGCGGACAGGCGTGGTACCTACCTACGGGCCCGTGAAAGTTTCTTCCGGGTAACTTGCTAACTCGAGAATTTAATAAGCTAGAAGACTGGAATTTTGAAAGGATGTTTCCTGACAGTTTTGGCGGCCAATCTGAAATTCTTTTAGCTAGAAGCATCTGCCGGAAAAACCTGTGCCATTAGCGACAAAAATCTGCGGAGAGCTATGCAAAAAACGCTTCTTCGCACGGGCAGCCCGTGCATTGGCCAATTATTTTGACTTAATGCCTTGGCTTCTCATAGTGGGTAAATTATGTAAAAATTTTTGATTTTTTGACCTTTTTACGTACTTCTCCCTTTCGGAGCATTTCAAAAGGGTGTTTCCTTTCAACTACGTTTTCAATAAGCAGAGTAAAATAATAATCCCTCATTTTCTTGTAGTAACTTGAAATCCGCTTTTTATAATGTTTTTTATTACGACTAACTTGATTTGCAGATGCTTTCGATCCTTCAGACAGTTTCATCTGGTTCGTGGGATGAATCAGAGGCTGCGCTGTACATTATTTCCGTCATTGTGCATAATGTCCTTCCGTAAGTGTTTTTTTTTTTTTGTGTTTGAGGTAAGAGATTGTGTAAACCCTGTTTGATTCTTTCAAGGGCCTCGGGCAATAACAGCAGTCATTTTGCTTCGGGCACGAAATTTTTAAAGTTAGCATGCAAAATTCCACTTTCGATTTTTGAACTTGACTTGAGGGATGTGAAATTTAGCTTCAAACTCATTGAAACTAGCATGCAACCTGAGAAGTATTAATACGTTCTCCAAATTTTCGGCTTCTGGATTGTGATTATGGCCCTCGTTGTGCCGGTACTGGCTCGATAGTTTCGGATTTGATCTGTGCATTTTACGTACTTTTTTTTAAAATGTAAATTTCAGCCTAAAACTTGTCAAAATTTTTGCGAAATATGGGAATTTGGGGAAAAATTTTTTTAGATCGGAAACAACACTTGTTCCACTTTTGGTACAAGCAGTACTGAATATGCCACTGAATTCGCATCCTATACTAATCCATACCTCGGTTAAACTCCTTGGCAATCTTATTGATTGGCTATTTGATAACAGTGAATATCAAGGTTTGTTTTTGTCCACTTCAAAGGCTTATTTCTGTTACTTGCTTACTTACTTTGCTACTTTGTCGAGCATTAACGACTCCCCCTGTCTTTCCCTGAACGCATGATCGAAGGGCCTGGCATAGCTGCGCATACCTTGCAAGGACGCCCGAGTTAAAACAGAACCCCTACACCCATTGTCCGATTGGTCTTAGTGTTCTTGGTGCTTTAATGCTTGTAATTCACTGTCGCGTTTCTTTCCGCTGTTGCAAAAATTGGCATCTTCTGAGCCTGCATTTTCGTGATTTTGTATTGAGGCGTTGAATTTTTGCAAAAAATCATTCTTTTTTACAATGAGCCAGGGGTATTTTACCACTCTTATTTCCTGTGGATTTTTTTTCCGAGCTTAATGAATGGGATGAAGTTTAGGACTTGTCATGGACATATAAAAAGTTGTGTTGGGCCATGCTTTTTTGGTGGGAACCGTTGGGCTGGTAAATCCTTTACAAGGCGAAAGGGGCATCAGGATTGCTAGTCGGCTAACCACCAGACGGTGCAGCATTGGCAAGAAAAATGACTGGAAGCTTGTCAGTTGAAAAGCCATACCAGGAATTACAACTAATACAAGTACTGTGTTTAGTACTACTGACCAAAAAACGTAAAAACGTGAGGAACGATAGTGGCTATAATATTGTTCTTCTTTTGCACTGTTTACCTGCATTATTCTTGACAGTCTTTTAACCTCAGAGACTTAAATTTATTGCATAATTCTGTGGAATTTTGGCCTTCCTACGTTTGTGATCGGAGGAAGTGTGCTATGAAATGGCAGTGTTTGCTTTGTTCCTATTGACTATCTTTCAGGAAGTTTTAATTTAGAGCCCTGTATTAACTGGTTACTGGACAAAGTGCAGAAACCCGAATATGTTCGTGTCGCCTCCGAAGCACTGAATAGCATCTGTGAGAAATGTGAAAATAGCTGCCTGAAACATTTCGATGGACTGTTTGGTGTCATCCCATTGCTGGAAAGTGGTCAAAGCAGAGGACAGCAATTGGAAAATTCCATCCTGGCACTCCTCCAAGGTCGCTTAGTAATTTTTCAAAATATTTCTTATTTATATTTTAGATCGAAAGGCCTGACACAGGTGCTAGGTTTGGCATCACTAATGTGGGATCCTCACAGCGATTTTTGAGGTGGTTCTAGCCATTTGGCGAACTTTTTTTTGGCTAATATTAGAATAATTGTGAAAATGTGCGCAAGATTCAAAAAAACTGTTGTGTCTTTGATACCTCTTTCACATACATTTTTCGAATGTATCAATATGTGTGCCTAACTTAGTGGTGAGTAACAGTATTCTTGGATTTGTGTTGGGGAGCCGAATTGGCCAAGAAATACTAATGTGTAATCAAAAGTGACCACCTGGCCAGTCCGCTAAACAATTGGCCAACGCACTGAATGCTGGTGCAAGATGCATTTTTTGCACAGTTCCTCGCAGGATTTTTGTCACTAACGGCATTGTTTTTTTCCGGCAAATACTTCTAGCTAAAAGAATTGAAAATGGTCACTACGACTGTGAGAAAACATTCCCTTAAAATTTCAGCTTTCTATAAAGCAGATTCTATAAAGCTGAAAGTTTAAGGGAATGTTAGCAACTTACTCGTAAAAAAGTTTTCTTGGCCCATACATATGAACCGCACCTGGGCTGGGTTTGAACTCTTTAATTCCTACGTAGACTGTGGACATACCCCTAAAATTTCAGTTTTCTAGCTTTTCTGATCCCCAAGTTAGCAGTCTACCCAAAAAAACTTTCACATGCCCGTTCAGGGAAACCACATGAGCAAAGGTGTCCATTTTGGGAATTGATGCCCGTGCATGCGTGTAGATTAAGTTTCCAAAGTTTTAGCCTTTTAGCTTTTGTAGACCTCGAAATGAAAAATTGATACAGAGACGCACAGACGCACAGATACATAGACAACTCCTCGGCAGTATGCATTTTTGCATTGCATAGATGCAAAAGACGCATAAAAATGGCGCATGTGTGCGGAGCTAACGTGAGATGAGGAATACATGACTCAGCCGGCTTGGCGTCTGGAAAAAATTTCCCTGAAGTATCTTGGCGGAATCGTTGTTTTAAATGTCTTGGCAAAAAGTACCGTTTCTTGGTTTAGCTTCCACTCGTCCAAATAAAGAATTTTTATTTTTTTGTGGTTTTATGTTTTTTTTTTTTTGTCAAACGTGTGGTACATTTTAGCTTGCGCATCGATGCTCAACGGCTTACCTGGAGATGAGATTGCATCACGTCTAAGGCGCCTAGTTGAGCCACAATTGTCACGATTAGCTGCAGTAAGTTTTTTTTTTCTGTTTGGGAATTTTTCCGTTGATTTTTGGAATTCTTACAATCGCGAGTTTTCGTTATTTGCCTGCATCGGGTTTTGTTGGATTATACTTAACTGCAGTTGCTGCATGGAATTTTGTTTAACTACAGTTATAGTGTTGTTCTCCAAATATGCATCGAGCAACTTTTCTAGTTTCTCAGACTTGTGCTGCGTTGCCTTGTGTTGATCAGCCTGCTGGCGATCCTGAGTTTTTTTTGTTTCCTGAAGAAACGATCAGCTTACGTTTTTTTTTGAAAGAAAGTCGTGGCTGGGCTGTACTCGTTTCAAAATTTCCTTGGTTTGTGCTATGCACCACCACCTCGTTTCGAACTTTGTCACTCCTGGACTGCATGAGGTTTCATACCGACTAAGAAATCGTCCGATAATGATAATTTGCGATTTTCTTGTATTTTGGAATTCCACTCTGTATTTTGCCTACAAACCTGTCAAAGTTTTTCGCGTAAAAAATCGCCTAAAAGCTTACGAATCATTTACTTTTTTCGCGAAAAAATCGTTCTTTTTTCTTCTCCTGTAAAAGTTGAACGTGCTTCTGAGAAATTGTTCGAGGCACAAACCTATGCCAGCCGTAGCAGCAAGTAGCTTTTTTTTTTGGTAATTATTAGCACATGGGCTACTTCAGACGTCAAACCTTCCTCTTGCGGTGAAAGTTAGAATGTGCTTTGTGTTAGTTTCGTTTGTTTTTTTCTTCATTATATGGACTTGTTCTTTATTTTTAGCTTCTGAAGTCGATTCCGAATGACCAGAACAACGAGGCTCAACAAAGTAAAGAGAATGCGTCTGATTCATGGGCAAGTATTAGCAGCGATCCTGCGCTCTGGGTGGATCGAATTGCTGCCATTTTTCGCTATATTCAGCCATGGACAAACCAGCCGTGCAATCCCAAAAACTGCGTTAAAAATGGTAAAAAATTTAAAAATTTTTTACTATCGAGCATAGCGGCAAACAACACTACTCTGCTCAAATCGCAGGTTCGATTCCATCGGTGGCATATCCCCCATTTCCTTTATGGTCGTTTTATTCGTTACGGTGGTAAATTGGTACTAGCGCATGCCAGGGAATCGAGAGTGTTGCTGGCTTGCTAATTAGCAATTTTCGAAAGAGAGAGCCATAGACAGACTTCTGTTATTTTATTTGTAGTTTTATTAAACTATAGTAATTTTATTGTAATAATTTATGGTAATTTTATCAGAATAGTTTTACTACTTCTACTAATTTCTTAATAGTATTTTCTCTTCCATTCTTCTCATTTCAAAATGTTTTTCTGTTGCCTACAAGTGATTGTTAGCGGCATTTGCTTGTGGATGGGCTGCTTTTCGAGTGTTTCCATCTCTGAGAGGAAGGACAAGTGAATATGAGGAAATTTTGACCTTTTTTGATGCAATACAGCTAGTATTTGCTTAATATATATATACACATGTATA